TTTAGGTCGAGGAGAACTTGAAGCGTTCGAAGGCTTCCTTCGCTGACGAATGTTTTTTCAGCATTCTTAAAACTAAGTTGGAATCTTTTTTTAACAAAGTTAGTTGTCTTCCTTAGCAAGGAATTACCTTCGTTACTGAGTTTCAGAAAAACCTTCAATTATTCACTATTAAAAAAGTTAATTACTTTTTGACAGCGCCTCCTGGCAATTATATCATAATGATTTGGTTGGTTTTAAAAAAGTACAACTAATTCTTAAGCCTTAGTTTTTGTAAATCTAAGTCAAAAGCAAATTAGTTGAAAGGTTTTAAAGTGATATTACCGTACTCTATTATGCCTTAGTTTTTTTAACTTTCTAGTCATTTAGTTACAAAAAGTTTTGACGTATGAAACTTTTTGGTTGCTTAGGAGTGGTTTGACCGAAATGAGGAAGCGAAAATGATGGCTGAAAGAATTTTTGTATTAGTTCGAAACGTATTGGCTGTATCTAGGTTTTCGCTGGATGAAACGGTATTGTTATCCTCAAAGAACATTTAGGTGCAGAGCTTGCCACTTAAATTTTTTTGTATAGTGTGTAGTGATCAAATTTTCAACTATTCTTATATTCTTCTTTAATTGTTTGCGTGAAGAACTTCAAATTTTGTAGTAGAAAGGCTCTCTGCAGCACAGTTTTGTACTCATAAATTTTAGTGGTTTTTTTTCAAAGAAATTAGAGCGAAAATCTGTGTTTGCAGAGGACAGCGTGGGGTGTCAACTGTCACGATAAAGTAGTCCTGGCCTTACTGAAAAGCGGCTTGGGTAACTATCTAATATCTTTAGCCATATCAGAAGTTGATTTTCGACTCTTAATAATGGAGATCATAGCTTACGTCGTAAAAGAGAGGGCAAGTTCTAAATGTGCTGTTAAATGCTTCTTTGGAACCGGTGCCGATAACTGTAAGATATTGTTGAGTTATTCATTTAGGAGCCACATGATATTGCATTCGCTGATTGCTCGAGAACAGCAGATGAAAAAGCAAAAGATGAACAGGAGTTGGAAAAAAGTGTAGCTTTAAGTTTGCAGAAGCAGATGGAATTGCGACGTAATTTAAGCGTACGTCATAGTAGATTTGCTGGTTCATATGTTGTGAAGGGACTAAAAGCTGTTAATCAGGCGAATGATGTTGTTATCCAAAAGTAACTTCAATTCATTTATGTCTCCTTATGGATCTGCTTCTTTGCTAATGACTAAATCTTTATTTCTTTATTGACAAGCTATATATTTTTTTTACGAATGATACGAAACACAGGTTCATGTGTCGCTTTTAAATTAATTTAACTTCCGCAGCCGGTGAGAACAATCTTTTTATTTAGTTCTTATAAATAGGTCCTTAAAGTATCACTTTTTTTGCGAGTCTTTATAAAGTATGAGAAAATTTAATGCGAATGCAGATTGATTTGAGTCATGTGTTGAAAACAAGTTTCTCCCCGAATACCTGTAGTTATAAGTTTAAAAAATGATATAGGCGCGAAATAATTTTTCTAGAAATTAGAAACTACCAATTATTTTATTTATGCGGTTGTAACTCATCACTTTTTTTTGGGAAGTTAACTATACAGCTTTATTAATTTTACAGGGACATCTAACGGCATTGATAACTCACCAGCTTAATTTTAGAGCACTAAAAGATGTTACGAGATTGGAGTTTATTGATAAAAGAAAAGTGGGAAAAAGAAAAGCAAAGAACAGAAGGCCGTTTGATTATGGCGAGAAGAAGCATATTTCAACGATTACGGTTCGCACGGAGCTAAAGGCGTTTTGCGTTAACGTTTTGGGAAAAGTTTACAATACTTTAATGAAGCACTGCAAAGACGTCGTGAGACTTACAATTTTAACATTGTTGTGGTGTGCAACACCATAAAGTTTGCGATGGCAAAATATAATTTTCAGGCCTTTGGCGGACGAAGAACGCTCGTTTACAACAGCGCTGACATACATTATTTTTTAATCCAGTGGTTTTTCATGGAATTTCGTCGGTTATGTGAATTGCCAATCGAACTAGTTCGTTCTGCAACTGATTTCTTTAAACCGTTCAGATGGTCGTTTGGTACTTTATCTTTCTTATAGGTAAAAGGAACTGTTGGTGTGGATAGCTTCCATCATGTGCAAATACAACTAGATTCCTATTTGGAGTCAGCACGGTTCGAAAGGAAAGAGGGTCGGAAGTACGGCATACGTGCGCAGTATGCAGTTCTTGCCTATAAGGAGCTTTTATCAACGTAATTTTCACAAATTTCAGTTAAGCGGGGAATTAGTTTTATACCGCGTTAATTAGGAGCCCTTAGACCTTGTTGTTTGCAGTTTGTTTTCAACTGGGTTTTACTAAACATTTTGCGAAGTTGTAACTTTTAGTCTAAATGCTATGATGGAGTCAAGTGATGGCGAACAGAAGGAGGAGGCTCAGAGAATTTGTGCTCATATAATGCAAGTGGAGGAGTACCGGGAGCTGTCCAGTTCTATTATCAGAGGATATGCAGTTAGGCTTATATGCTTGTTATTTATCATCGCTGAATGAGAACTGATTGAGATGATCATGAATGTTTATATTTTTAGCCTGGGGTTTTTTCAAAAACTTTTCTGCGTTATCTCGTTTTGGCTAACCACATCTACATTCGTTTGTTAGAAAAATGTGTGAAAGCGGGACGGCTTTGTAAAGTAACGAGACGAAAAAAAGTTACAAAACGCAGGAAGAAAATAAAGAAAGAAGCCGGTTTGTTAGTCTCTTTTGTATAATATTAAAGTTCTTTTTGGGTACTCTGTTTAATAAATTTATGGTTTGTCTTCACTGCTTAAAAAATGGTCGACCTATTTTCTTTTATGACTTCTAATTTAAATTTTATATTCCGTTTTTTGATATAACATAGTAACATAAGCTTGCATTGTTTGAAGTAATTAAATAGAGCTTCATCTGTTTACACTGTGAGATCATTTTATTATCTAATTTGGCATCAGTACTGGCCAACCCAGGTTGCTTTCTGACAAAACTTTTTGACTACGAAATAAAGACTTTGTTTTCAGTTTTTTTTAGATAACTTTTTAGAAGTTTCGACTGAAAAACAGCGAGATATTGACCTTGATGGAACGTGGGAAGATGTGTCGGAAGAATTATCGGAGGTGTTAATGGGTTATATTGAAGTACCAGATGACGTCAATCCAATTGACGTTATGTTGGATGTTGACGATACTTCACACCAGTAAAGTGTTTCACTTTTTTTTCGAATTAGATTCAGTTAATTCCGCAGTAAGCAATTTTTTTACTGTAGACGTTTCGCTATGCTTACAACGCAACGAGCGCTGCGAGAGCGTCGAGTTTTGGATGCTGTTGCTAATTATCGTGCTGCTCGGTCCGTGTGGCTAATTGAGGGATGCTTTGGTGCAGAAGGAATTTCTGCCGAGGACGAATTTCTGGAGTTGCATGCTATATTTTTTACGGACCTTTCAGAGGTATTTGCTTGGAACTTGACCGACAGCGATTTATCGTTATGTCATTACCACAGTGGAAGCTGGCTTTTTTGCCTAAATTTTGAGGAAAATTGTTTAGGTATCATGCACCGGCTCGAAGAGAGTCTGTCAGCTTCACATTTTAATTTAATTAGACATTTTCACTATTAAAGGGAAGTGTGACTGTTCAAAAATAGTTGAAAATTCTATAGGCTTTTTTATATAATCCGGTCAATTAATTAATTTTTGGAAGCTTTTTTGAAAAAATTTTGCTTATTTTGTTGTTTATCGATAGGGGTTTTATTGTGAAGCATTTGAGTGCTGATTTGCCTTTTGAGGCTGCTTTTCTCTGCTTGTAATCGCTATTTAGATAGTTTTTGTGATTGATATTTTTTTAAGGAGGTTAGGATCTTTGTTTAGGTTGAGAAGGAGTGGAAAGATGCTTGTTTAGCTGCTTATGGCACTGAAGACAAGCATGAGGAAAAAAGTGTATTTGATGATGGTACTGGAGATAGTGATGATTATTCGGCTGATAATGATGAAGACGAGGAACCGTCCTATAAGGAAATGGAGATCGAGTTTAATTTTGATAGTTATATGCAAAAGTTTGCAAGGAAAGATGTCTTGAAGTGGTAGTTAGATTTTTATAGATTTAATGTGCTCTGGTTATGTAGTTCTGTTAATTTTTTTGGTCTATTTTCAAAGAACTGAGAAGAAAGTGATTAACGCCAAATCTTTTTGTCTTCTGAAAAATAATGGTTTTTATTTGCTTTTCTACTTCCATGAACCTGTCTTTAGGTATGTGTTCCTTTTGGCTGAATATGAAACCAACTCTGTCGAACTAAACAGAGCAATACTAAAGATGCTTCATCGGATCGCTTTTGATCTAAATTCATGCTCCAGATTATTTCAAGTATATTGTTTTTTTAGAATTTACAAGTTCTTTATACTTGTTTTACTGTTGATAACACTGGTATAAAAATATTCTTACTTGAAATAAAAAACTTGATGAATATTTGGTAATTCTTTGTTGTCTTTTGTACTATAATAACTTTTAGGCTTCGCTGTTTCGGATTTTTTTACGCATTGGGGTTCATTTTCAAAAGATGGCACCTTCTGATGTCAGACAGAGTCCGCACTACGAAATCTATGAATTAGGTTACCATCTGTTGAAAAAATTTTTCAAAACATACGAAAGATTACAGTGGAAGTTAATTCCTGAAATACTTTTTTGGAAGGGAGCAAAAGAATGTTACGAGATCGATTACGGATACGGGGCTTATGAGTGAGTTATTCTAAAATATCTTTGGAGCGAATAGTTTCAACGGCATCTGGGTTTTAGGTTAAAATGCTTCAGGAGGGTTATTGCTTTTGGAGCTTAGTGGTTAAACGAGTAAATCTAAAAATCTGTTAGGTTTCAAAAACTTTGGTGGCTGTTGTTTTTATAGCTCACCCTCCGAGATTTTAGGATTGTAACACGTTATATTTTTTAAAGATTCTTGGACGAATTTTTGCTGTTGGATGGCTTATGTTAGGTTTATAATGAAGTTTATTACATCTGGATTTGTAGAGGCAGAAAAAAAATTGCTGGAAAAGAAGAGATACTTTGGCCAGAGGAACTGGATGACGAGCTACGAACTCTGCATGGCGAATATGTTAGTTATGAAGATAAACCGGAAGGTAATCGTTGTACTTCACAAGTAAATCGTTTCATTCGGTAACAGTTTTAGGGGGGAGTACGTCTAACATTAAAGAGAATTTCTTTAGCTTTTTCGTGTTTTTTAAAAACACCATTGAAATTTTTTAGGAATTGATGTTGCTGAGTTCATTGAGCACAACCTTTCCAAGCCACGGACCCGCAAGCAAATTCTACGGGAAATGAAAACACTTGGACTAAATTCATTTGGTGCTAAGGCTACAACGAAGTATCTAATTTTTTTGTTTTATAAGTTTATATTTTTGTAGTACTTTTGCAAGTTAAAAGAATTTGTGTTTCTTAAAACTCATGATGTTGTTTTCAATTTTCAAATGAAGTTTTATTAGGTTTAAGTATTATTTTCCTTCTTCTGTTTTGCGGAGGAGAAGCATAATTTATTCATTCATATCGACCGCAACTTTCAGTCTTTTTTCATTTTCTTTTTCATTCTCATTCAGCTGTTACTCAGCTGCGGCGGTTGGGGACTGTTAGTGAGATAGATGAGGAAAGAACATTTGATGTTTTTTGTCAGTTGGAGTGTGGGGAAGTACAGTGCTGTTTTTCGACGAGTAGTTTTAATTTTTCAAGTTTCTGTGGCTTCAAAAAAGTAAATTATTAAAAAACATTCTCTTTTTGGTTCTGTCTTTTGTTGGATCTCCTCCGGATTACTTCCGCAGCTTCGCATGGATTTTTCTTCAATGCATCCTCTTGAGTAAAAAGAGGAGACGAAATTTTTCCGTGGCGCACAGCTACTGTCAGATATTTAGATCACTGTTCCAGTCGTGATAGCTTGTACCAAAAAGCTAATTTTCTATATCTTTTGCCATTCATTTCTTGGTTGTTTATATTTATATAGTATTCATTTATAGTACTAGTATTGGTTTTTTAATTTTCCAAAAAAGTTCCCCCCATTTTCGAAAAAAGTTTTACGATGTTTAGTTACTGGTTTCATTAAAGTTTGGGTAAAATTCACTAGTTCGTCTTTTAGACGTTTCATCTTCTGTTCTTCAAAGAAAACCTGTTTCTTCTCTTTTTGTTTTAGTGCTAGGTTGCGTCATTCTCGTCCTGCCAATCTTCCACCAGATTTAGTGGAACAGATGAAGCTGTTAGTCACTGAGTATAATGAAACTGCTCCCAGTGAGCGACATTGTAAGGTTTTTTGTCTGCTTTTTTTAAAAATATTTTTCTGGTCTTTTATTTTTCAGATGGACTGAAGCTAACTCGCTTTAATTTATTGCAGGCGATTTGATTGACTTCGTCCGTAATCGTATGCCTAAGGAGTTTAGTCGTCAAATGATTATAAAGCAGCTTCGATACGAGGGCATTGAATATAAAGCTGTCACGAAAAAAAGGTTGTTATATTATTTTAGCTAGATCGGGTCACTTTTTTTTTAAAAATAAACGTTTTTTGATGAAGTCAGTTTTTTAAGCGCTGATTTCTCTATTCCTGATTTTTTAAGTAGGACGAAACCGTGGCCAGATGAGTTGATGACTGAACTGCGAGCAATATATCAGCAGTATAAAGCGCTCGAACACACATCTGGCAAGTTTCTTTAATTTGATTTTTTTGTCGATGACTTTCTGAAATACTTGTTGAAGTAACTGTTGTGAATTCAGAATTGTCAAACACTATTTGATTGATAATTGAGGTGACTTGGTCGGTTATGCTGTGGCTAGATTGAGTGCGAAAAAATCAAGGAGAGAAGTTACAACGAAGTTAAAAGAAATTGGTGCGATTGATATCGTTGCATCTTTGCCAAAGTTAGTCATGTGGGGAATTTGCTTGCAGTAATTTAAACTTAAAAAATACTTTTGACGCGTTCACACACTAAAATGCCGTTAGTCCGTTTTGTAAAAAACATCTGAAACTTCTGAAAATCACATATTTCACTGTTTCCCAAAAAATTCTTTGTGAGTAGCAAGGTTTTCTGCCACCTTAAAATGAAAAGCTCTGCGGTGAGAAGCGTTATGATCTATTTGAAAGGTAATAAGTTTTCTTTGTTGTAGTTGAGGGTGTTGAGTTCTTGCATATTTTGAAATATTTTTTTCCTGCATTTAGTAAAAATGTGCTACTCGATTGTTTTAGCGCGAGAAAAAATCAAGTTGAAGTTTCTGCAGCTCAAGATTCTGATTCGTTTGGAGAGGAACAAAGCGAAAATGAAGAAGAAAAACCTTTAGAGAGTATTAAAACGGTGATTTTTTTTCTTGTTTTAGGTCTGATCTGATTCCTGTTTTGATGTGACTTGCCTTTACCTTAAATTTTTATGTTTGTTTGGATCCTTCATTGATGTTGCGGGCTCCATTTCTTCCGTGAATTGTAAAGCTCTTTACTGCCTAGCTGTCAGGCAGGCTTGTGAACCATAAACCTTAGAAGTGAATTGATAGTTTATAAAGGAAAAGGCTCTATTAGGTTAGTTGTAGATGTCTCGGATAGCACGAAGTGACAGCGAGGAATTTGTTGACGATGGCGATGAGCAGGATTTCGTTAGTTCAACGGTACTTCGTACTTTCTATTTATTTTCTAAAGCGAACATTTAAAACTTGCTGAAAAAGTATTTTATTCTTGCACTTTGAGCACACCAAGTAATTAAGATACTTCTGTCTTTAATTAAGTGCAGGTACTTGTATATTACCAACTGTGATTTTTCCTACGTATAGTTTCTTTTATTTTGGTTGGCCATTCTAATCTCTTCTTTGAACAGTAATTTTTTATTTTCGTTAGAGGATGTTGTTTAGATGCTGGAGGCATTTATAAGTTTTTATTAATATTGAAGCGTTCAGCGAATGGTTTTTTCCTTTCATGTGAAGAAGCTGATAACAAATCTTCTATGTAGGGTTCTCAAAGAAAGAATAATTATTTCATTTTTGGAGATAAATTCTTTATTTTTATTTCACCCAATTTTTCCTCATGTTTATGCTGCTATAAATCTTTGAGGCTAACGTAGTTTGGATGAAAAATTAAATAGTTGTTACTCAACCCTCTGTTTTGAATTCTTCTATATCTTGGAAGAGACATTTCTATTTTTCTGTAATTATGGTTTCGATTTCATAATCTAAAATTTGTCGTGTGAGAATCTGATACTGTGAAATGTTTTATTTTAGGGCGACGGTGATACGAATTCGGATGTTATGAGCTTCTCAGCTCAACATCAATTTGGAAATCACGATGACGAACCTCGCAACTCCTTGGTATCTTTCAGCTTCATAAACCGATTAGAGTCATCTCAACAGTGATCAACTTTCTTCTGGCTTATTAGTATTTCCACTTCTGTTTCATTTGCACGAAAAGAAACTTTAGTCAGTTTTTTAGTAACTTGGTTAATACTTCGTTCCTAGACTGCTACGGCAGACGTGCAAATTAGATTTATTATAGTCATAAATAATCTTTAAATGCTTGTAGGCCGACAGTCCAGCTAACCAGCAATATAACAGAGAAGATATTCGCGAGTCTGATTCGCTTAGCGACGTCGAGGAAGAAGTCGGTTTCTCAAGTTTGTGTTTTTACTCTGAGTTTTACTGTATTACTATTGATGTAGTCTTTTTAGATCTTTGTTAGAAAACCCAAGCGAATCGCACCTGAAAATTACGATGATTATGACGATGGGATAGTTACTACTCCAAATCGAAAGAGAAAGGTTGTCTTAAGTGATAGTGACGAAGACTAGAAGATGAGATATGGTTACTGCTGTTTTTGTGCAATCGAAGGTATGATCTCTGCATTTACGATTCCGTTATTCTCTGTTTACATAGCCATTTTTATTTCTTCTAAGAAGCACTGCGTTTCATATAACTGCTTTTTCAAGCATTTGACAGTGCTTACAATTGATGCGGCTTTTTCGGTATTTTTTGCTTCTTTAAGCTACCTTGAAAAGCTAAGTTAACATACTCTCTGCCTGTACTAATAATTGAAAAGTTTCTGAATTAAACACTGGTAGTAACACTTTTTGTTGGCAGTCAGTTACTGGTTCTTTCATTTATAGATGACTTATCATTGTTCAACTTTTTTGATATGTTGATTTGTATAGAACTTCACACTTTGTATCGTAAGTTATTGGAAGCAGAAGGATAGTAAATCTTTTTATTTGAAATTTTGCAGACAGTAAACCGGTAAACCGAACTTTATAGAATTTGGGATGGTACTTCTTAACAATATTTCTAGTATGATAAGCCCATTAAAAAATTTTGGTGAAGTTGTCACAAATTTCTTCGTATCAGAACGGCAGATTGTGAATAATCTTTCAACCTTCAAACTTTTTGCGTTTGTAAGCTTTAGCGAGCCCGTATTTGAATTTTTGCTTTTTTTTTGATTGTTGATCACTGAAGTTATACTATTCAATGTTGAGGTAGGAATATCCTACGCCTTTATTCTGTATGAGTGACACAATACTTTAAACTGTTTTGATTACCGTGTATAAAATAAAATTTAAAATGACCCTATTTTAAACTGATTGTATGATGAGGGTTAGAAGGTTTTGGTTTATGTAGATAAAGCAGAGTAATAAGTCGACTTTGACCAATCACAAGAACTTCTTTGAGAGATATTAAGCTTATATTGTGCGTATTACTTGCTGGAAATAGAGGATTTAAAAGTGCACTTGGCGAATCTGAGTTTTAGAGCTGTAACAATACATAAAATGTTGGACGCGACTTCGAATAATTGACGTTTCTGTTAGATTTCTGACTTATGCGGCTCTTTAAAGCATCTAGATTGAACGCAAGTGATGTTTGGTTTTTTTTTGGAGACGTACGAACAGTTCTAGTAGGCGTAACTCTGTTCTTAATACTTTGATACTTTATGAATAATGGTTTTTATTGCAGTGAACTATAAATGTATGTATTTTTCAGATTAAGGGTTATTATTTAGTTATATTTGTCTAAGATTGCATTACGGATTTTTTGGTGTTGACTTTATGAACTGCTTGTTGTCAGTAAAGATGAAAAAAGTTCTTGTTTTGTTTCTTTTTCTCAAAAATAAAGCTTCACCGTGTTTTTTACTGCAAATTTGTAATTAATGTGATCACCCAATCTTGTAGATTTTGCCAGATATTACTGAAGCTGGAGCTTGGATGTAAAATCAATTTTTTAAATGTTTTTTCTTTTGCTTAGGTAAAGACCACAGGTTTTTTGAATTCAGTTTGAAGAAGTAATACTGTTATTTTTCAAAGTCGGTTTGTTTTCCTTAGAGTGCGCTGAAGTTTTGCAGTGATAGGAATGGAATAAGCTGGAGAGTTTGTGCTTGACGTTTATGTTCACGTGTTTGGATAGTGCTTCTATTAAAGATAATTTTTTCACAACAGTTTGACATTTCTCAGCTTACCTTTCTTCGTCTTTTTAAGGAGATAGACATAAAACCTAAGTTAAGGAGCCGCAGTCATTTTGTGTAAGCTGACTAACATCTCAGAAGGTGGTTTGTCAACTAAAATAGTTTGCTTAGAACTGTTCCCTTGACAGTTTCGGTTTCAGTAGATATTCACTGGAAATTTCTAGGCTTCTTTTCCGTAGCTTTAATCATTATTTTTTTTCGGTTGTGCCATTCTTTTTTTTCGAGCATTGCTGCTGTTCATGTTTTCTGCAAGAGTTGCTGACAATAAAGGTAAATCTGATCGAGTTAGGTTCTGTTGCCTACGACTGTGACAGTGAGAAAATATCAGTAATTATTACCCTAAAAGTTGCAGATTCCGTATACTGCTGGTTTAGTGCCAATTACAGCTCGGGAGCGAGTAGTCCCATAATCTTTTTTCTGTTCGGCAAAGGCACCGGTGGAGAAAGCTTTTTAAAAGTTCAGAAGTATAGTTTTTTCGGCAACTGGTTAATATCGACATATTGTTTGACAGTGCTGGCTTATAGTCAGCGCAGTTTATGACACAAGTTGGTGCATTCAGATAAATTAGCTAGAAATATTCGAAACTTTATGGGCGGTAGAAGCTTGGGCATCAGGGGTTGGAAAGATAAGGGGAGGCAGAATAATATGCCAAGTGTTTATCATTGCAAATTCAGAAGACAACAGCAGTAGAAAGTGTATGCTGCTTTTTTTTTTTGATATTTTTTACTTTCTGGTGTTTTTCCGGCTATTTTTGATAACTGTCAAAGTAACTGCTCTACCGGCAAAATGGATTTAATTCAATTTAAGTGGTAGATTAGATTTTCGACAACAATTTTCCACAAAGACCTTAACTTTTTTACTGTATCGTTAACATTGTTCACATCTCTCTCTTTTCTCTCTTCATCCTTTGAATTTTTTTGGTAAACAGCAGAGAAAAAGGGACTGCGCTGCTTAGTGTTCAGCAGTGTTTAAAGGTACTTTTTTTCCTTCAGAAGGAATTGCAACTTGTGATAAAAAACTAAAACAAGGGCAATTTACTGACGATATCTTTGTGCTCAGCTACTTTTTCACTTTTATTGAATCTAGACACTTATTCTAATTTATCTTAGTCAGTAGTTAGGCAGCGAAGTAAAACGGCAGTCATGTTGTTGATTAGCAGTTAACGACAACTGCAACAGCAGTAGAATCTTTCACCTGAAATAAAGCAGAAGATAGAGATCATTATATAGTATATAAAAGATCTGTTGATTTTTATTCGACAGTTATGAGCTGAGGTGAAGTAATTATGTCACCTGCAACAAAATCTTGGTCTCTTTGGGAGGTTTATCATTTTAATTTAAGTGCTGTTTTTCATTTCCAGGACTTCGTTAATATAAGCCGTTTTTTATCTTCTTTTTTTCTAGCCAATTTCGTATACTGTTCTTTACCCTCTACAAGCCATAGGCATTTTGCCGTAGTAATAGTAGAATGGCTATTGTACTTATGGAACGGACATTGAACATTCTGGTTTCAGAATCGATATATGCTGTTGAATGTCGCTGTCATTACTGAATAAAGGAACATTGGTGCTTAGATTTGTTTAATAGCACAATAATAAGTGTATTCTTGAAGAAATGTTTCTAAATGATTGAATGTTGTATGACATTCAATTTCAATGGATATGTTTTGGTGCTCTGCATAGCTACTTTACAAGGCATTGTTAGAAGGTGATTTTACTGGGTTTTAAAAAGTATTAATACATATTATAAGGTACACTGTGCTAAACAGTATTTCTTGTGCAAATACAACTATCAAGAAAAAACGAGTGTTGAGAAGAATGTAGGAAAAATTTTTGTTTTTTGAAGTTTCTGGAAAACTATCCTGCCAATATTGATGTTCGCTGAAGCTAACAACAGCATTCTGATAATGATCGTCGACGTCGGAAAGATGCAATATTTTTTGGCAAACACAGATTAGCATGAAATTTTTTGCTATAATTAATTACAGTGTTAACACTTTGTTCAAAGATTGAAATTTACTGTAGGAGTACAGCTATTTTTTTTTCCTTTTTGCTGTGATGGACGATGATATTTGGGATAACGACTTGATGACGACAAAAAATTTGTGGGTAAATAGGAGTCACTGCAGAGAGTTAGTTTTAAAAATAGAGGAGGAATACGTATCAGTGAAGTATTTTATTATTGTATAAACTTGAGGTTTGATTATAATATAATGTAATTCTGAACATAATGCTGGTTCGTTAAGTTACATTTTTTTTGGTTCACAGTAGAAAAGATTTTATTTATTACTCGTCGTTTTTCTGTTTTTTTTTTTCCATTTTAAGTTCTTAGAATTTGTAATTGTGACAGGTTTAAACCTGGCAAAAAAAAAGAAGACTCTTTTTCTTTCATTTTATTGCTTAAAATATTTAGCACTTGGAAATTTGTTACTCCAAAGTTTGGGCATTATAAAGAAAACACTGTTGTATAACAACAAATTTGGTGCAACTTTACAGACAAAATTTTTGCTGATTAGTTGATTGCCATTTTATAGTTGCTTTGGGATTTTATTGCTGAAATCAACTGTAAATCTGCCTATTTATTTCTGTTACTTTTTTACGTTTTCTTTTTTTGGTTTTTTTATAATTGTAACTTTTTTTTTTTTGAAGGATTCAACAAGAAAAATCAATAGATTCATTGTTTTATTATACATTCACTGTTGTTGTTTTTGTTGTTACAGAAACTAATAACATAGAAAATAGATAAATGTAAATATTGGACCAACAGAAAAAAGCAGTAAAAAAATAAATATGTAAAATTTTCATACATATTTCTAAGATGAATAAAGTTTTATTTATACCTTAATTATTTACCAACTCTGTTAGCTTATGGCCATTGTACAAATGGACTGATCACATGCAATATCTTTCAACTGATCACTTATACTTCATTATAACCTATGAAATACACAATAAAGCTGTAAAAAAATGGCATCATTTATATTTGATTTCTTATTTTTTTCCCCCACCTTTGCTCACACAGATCTGATACACTCATCGGATACACTAAACAGTTATATGAATGATCTGTCAATGGGGATACTGTTGTAAAAGGTAAGAAAAACGGGACTCTAAAAAATAAAAGGTACGAAACATAGATTGACAGTTACTGTTGTTGCCGTTGTCATTGATCTGTGTAGTTGGTAATTGACAGTTTAGTTGTGCCCCCACCCCCCTCCACCTCTAAAAAAAAAGAAAAGAGAAAAGAGAAAATTAAAGAAATACTCGAAATAAACAATGGTCTTTTCAAAAATGACAGGTTTTTTTTGAATTTTACAACTCTGTATTTGTCTTAAATTTAGTGTCATAATTTTTGCTATTGATTTTTAATTGTTTATAAACAATAGGGAAGCTTTTTTTTGGAAATAAAACACAACAAAAGGAAAAAAAAGTGAAGTTTGTTTATCGTAATTATTATCTTTAAAAAAATTGCTAAAACGATAAAGACGAAACAAAAAATACAGCCAATTGTTCTGTTGTGATACGCGACAGATGTGTAAAAAACGGAATAATATTCAACAAATATCTTTTACTGTTATCATAGCTGAACTTCTGAATTTTACTGTTGCTTCAGACATACAAATTGTTCAAATAAAATGGAAGTAAAAACGGGACAATTAGAGACATTATTTTAATGATTATGCACCTCATATTATATTTAAAACTATCAACTCTTTCTTTTTCTTGATTAACAGAATAGAAGATGCCGGACATTTGGAGTTTTTCAGTTGTCTTCACTGATTTTACAATTGTATTTATTTTTGTGCAAAATCAACTATTTAGTGAGATAGTTTTGTTTTGAAAACCTGAAACTGCTCTTTTTGTCTTATTTTATTTTCCTTTTTGCTAAACTTTATTAAATCTTATTAAACAGTATTTTGGTCTTATAGACTGATGGGCAACTGCAGAGAAATACGAAAGAGTATTCATTCAGCAGAGATTATTGCTGTAGTTGCACAGTTGCTGCAGGTTTCATAACTGTTTCTTTGCAAACAGCAGTATCGGTTAATTGAACAACTGAAACAGTAAATCACTCGAAGACCGTTAAACAACAGAAAAATTCTGTATCTACACACAGTTCTTTGATCATAACTGTTTATTTCGTGAATTTATACTTTTTATTGACCTCTGCATTCAGCGGCATTGACCAACGGTTTTGCACTAAAAGCATTATCGTTAGTATTGACTTTGCTGCAATTGACATTCCGCAATTACTGTTTACTGATGTCTAAAACAGAAAATTTTAACAAAATAAAGCTTCTCTACTATAACTATATTTAAAAAATATTTTTTTACTAAAAAATTACAAAATAAGTATAAGTTTTTTAAGTAACTTAAATTTTCAGTCATTTTTATGTCAACATTGAGTAGTTTTACAGATTTTTAAATCAGTATTCTTAAACTGTAGTAACAGCTACCAGAAAAAAGGGAGTACTAAGAAACTGTGACAATTTTTTTTAGTATAAACATTATAAACTTATTCTGTCTTTTATTTCTTTTAGTTGCTGTAAGATGAAAAAAAAAAGAACAGGAAAAGAAGAGGAGAAAGAAGAACAAGCGAAGGAGAGTAAATGAACGGAGGAGATGGAGGAGGTGAAGGGAGGGGGAGTAAAAATTACATTTGAAGAAGAAAATTGAGATATAACAATTTTGAGACCATGCGTTATTTTTATAAATTTTTTTTTTAAATTTTTAAACACTTATGCCATTTTTTTTTAATGATAGACTTGCATAATTTAGTGATGTACGAAAAAGGAAAGTATAGTTCCGTTTTCAAATTAAAAATTTTATTATATACGTATTATTTTGTTAATGTAAATACAAAATGAACGTTTATGTTATATATATATATATATATATATATATATAT